GTGCAAGCGTGGCTGCTTCGAGCCTTGGAAGTGAAACCTTAATATTAAAAAAAGGGTGGCGGTGAGGTTCAAACTCGTGACCTCTTGGTCAACGAAGCTCTGGTACCATATCAAAAAAAACAAAATAAAATAGTTTAACCCAAATACAAGCTTTTAGGTTTTATACTCTAACATGCCCCCTCACGTGCAGGCGAGATTTGTGTTTGTTCAAGCCTTGCACGTGAAAATTATTTTTTTGAAACTGGGTGGCAGTGAGATTTGAACTCGTGACTTCTTTGTCAAGAAAGCTCTGATATCATGTTAAGGAACCAACTCGACCAAAAGCTCAAGCTTGTGGATGTGGCCTAGGAAAGGTTTTTATACTCAAACAGATACGAATAAGGACTCGCACCTTATCAAAATAAGTTGCTGGTGGTGGTATTACACCGCCTGCCCCCATGACAGGCTCTGCAATGAAAGCAGCTATCTAGCAAAAGTTGACAAAAAAATAACAAGAAAAAGAAGATTAGCAGTCAAGCTATTGTTGAAGTTTATAACAGTCAATAAGGAAAGTAGATCCTAGGAGTGGAATTTATACGGTTTCGGGCCCCTCTTTGAGGATGAGATCTTCCAAGTTATTTGCCAACCTAGTCGAGAATTCCTCCTCTGTCTCACCTGAGGGAAGTAGTGGCATATGTAGCAGTTTTGGTCAATGGGTCGAACTGTAATGGTAATGATAATAAATGCATTTCACAAATTACTCTTATGTGCAAAATAGAAAATTTTCAAAATTCAAAAACACTTCATTTATTCCTTTTCATAAGCTTTCAAAGAAAAAAAATAAACAAAAGGGAGACTCGAACCCCTCACATAATGATGAGTTGCAGCTAACCGGCTACTCTTAACTAAAATCCTAATAAGTATATCGAAGCATAATACTTCAAGAAAAAAAATAATAAAAACCAGTTCGGAAATTTAAACTCTAGATAAATTCTCTACCTCACTGACACCTATTAATATCGAAATGTAACACCTATACTCCCTATGGTCCCATTTATTATTGTCCTTCTAGAAGCATTAATTGTGCTCTTTTCATAACAAATGGTTCTCATTTCAATGCAAAGAAACTCTAAAATTCCCTTCACTTTGTCATATCATTAAATATAAGGAAAAGAATAAAACCCTTTATGCCATATCATTAGGGGTAAAAAAGAAGAGTAAAAATATTC